TGGAGTCCACAGCTAAGTAATCATTCGCAAAGCGGGTTATGGCAGGCCTGATTATTTCTTTTTTCTTAGAGTGTTCTCTAAACAGAAATAAAATTTTAAAGTGGTTGTATATAAATCTCAACACCAACCTTGCTTCCTCTAGAGTCTCCTTCACAATTTTGATCTCACCGATCTCCTCTAACATAAGATCGATGTTGTGTGCAGCACACGGGGTCCATACTAGATGCTTCCTCTTATCCATCAACTTGCTGCCCGCAGAAACACATGCACGCGCATTGTCCGTAATAAACTGGACTACATGCTTATCTCCCACCTGCTCCACTATCTGATCATTTTGTCGTACGTAGAAGTTTGCATCCTTCTTCGTCCCCGATACGTCTTTGCTAGAAAAAAAAGCTGTACCTTTTGGGGAATAGGCCAAGAAGTTTAAAAACTCATTTTTGCTAACTTTATTCAACCAACCATCACTCATGAGAGTAATGCATGTCCTTGGCCAACTCTGTTTATATTCTTCAATCCACTTTTTAACTTCCTCCACCTCTTCATCTAATATTGGCCCACTGAGCTCATATGTCGTCGGGGGTTTTACCCCGGGCCCGACTCTCTGGATTGCACTGACCATAAGTGGAAAATATGGGTTATTGGCTGCATCAAAGGGAATCCCTTTATCGTAGAACCATTTACCAACATATCTCCCTAACATGTTTCTTGTACCTTTAACTATGCCTTTTAGGGTCATCTGTTGTGACTTAGGCTTTGAGAGAAATTGGTCTTTACGACCATGACCTGCAATACTGGCTCTTCTAGGATAACCTAAAAACAATTTCTTCAACATCTGATTCTCCTTGATACATATTGCCACCAACCCCTCCATACATATTTGAGCTGGACCCGCCATACATGCTCGAGCTGGGCCCGCCATGCATATCTAAGCTAGGCCGACCATGCATATCTGAGCTAGGCCCACCATGCATGTCTGAGCTAGACCCACCGGGCATTCTAAACCCACGTTCCCTTTGATATTGTTCATGTAAACTCAATCTTGTGGCCATGTCCAGCTCATTATTATATTGCTCTTCTAGGTCATTATTATATTGCTCTTCTGCATCATTCATGCTTGATGGTGTATATAAACTAGCTATCTCCTCATTCATCCTATGTTTGGCAATTTTTTTTACCTTTGTTAGCATTAAGAATTGCCGCCATCTATTTTTTTACATTACTAGGGACACTAGTGCATGCAGAAACTTCTCCCTTAACCCCTGCCAAGTATTGCTTGAACCTATGTACCCCACTACTTATCACTCTTTGACAGTAATTACAAATAATTTTGTCTTTTTTGTTGGGATCAAGTCTGACCCCATGTTGCCATGCAGGGTCTTCTGCAGATCTTGACATGATTCAACTGTTTTAAGATGTAAAAAGTATAAAATTAACTTGACAGTTCAAAAAGAAAAATAATCAAGCATGTGTAGTGATCATATGTTGCAGTAGTTCATGTAGTCATATTTGTTGTTATTTGTTATTGCAAAATACCTTTATTGACAATAATATTTTCGTATATATCAATTACAAACATTCAGGATAATATAATACAAAATGCAAGCTCCAAACATGGCTACAACTCAATTATCAAGAACATACATTTTTTGCATTAAAAAATTAATAATAAAAACAATTCTTCACAGAGCCAGCTAACATCAGTCATTCCAACTAAAAAATCCATGAACAGATAAAAAAAATATAGTTTTGCATTAAAAATATAATAACATGCATTTTTTTTGCATAAATAATCTATCAACATACAATTTTTTCAACAAAAACTTTAA